AGGGTCTGCTAGATCCAGGTTCTTGCTGTAGAAGCTGAGTGGGTGATTTTGGACCAGTCACAGACTTTCAGCTTAACCTACCTCACAAGGTTGTTGTGCAAGTCAAACGGGGGAGAGGAGAATGATGTCCCCATTGCAGAGAAAGACTACTTTTCCGCCTGGAAAACCATTGTTGCCAATCTCCAGGTGAGGGCTGGAGATAACTCAAAATTACAACTGTTCTTCAGGTAGCAGAGATCAGTTCCTCTGCAGAAAATGATGGGCTCTGTGTCATTATACCCTTCTGAGGTCGCCACAGCACATTGATGCTGAGTTTCCAAGGCCTTGGCACTCTCTCAGAGCCTCTTTCTAGAGCTCGTTGTATTTATTTCCACAACAGACCTTATTCATAGTAAATAAATAAAAATAATGCAATCCTTTGAGAGAAAGGTGCATATATATTTACAAGAATGTCTGTGAACAAACACTATTCTTGAACTATACCCTTCAACTGCAGCATGCAGGCCTTTCAATTTCATCCATTTCAAATCTGCTCTCACTTTTGGGGCTTCTATTAGAGACCTTGCTAGATTTTTCCCAACATCACTATAGACTAACTTTTCATTAAGGCTTGCTAAGGGCACATTCAGCATCCTCTAAACACTAGTATGAATCTAGCAACCTTGCATAAAAATGCACAAAGCTTATAGGATAGCCAAGGTACATTTTTGAGGGGTCATCAGAGCTGTTTATAACCGGAACAGATCTCAGCTTGGTATGCTACCGTGCAGCCCACTTCAAAAAACTTCACCATAAGCACAGCTTTATCTGGGATTTTAAAAAATGTTTCCAGTCATGCAAACAATCTTAATTGGTCCAGAGAGTAAGAATCATCACTGTAGTGCCTGTGAAAGATGGTAATATATTCACAGGGAAGGTCCCGTTGTTGATCTAAGCCCCTCATCTTCCTCCAAACATGAACAGTCCCTTGAAAACCTCCTTGCTCTCTATATGAATGGGAGCACATTTGCATCCCAGCCTTTGGCACTGATGAGGATGCAGCCGAGGAAGGAGTCTTGCCAAGGAAATAAACAGACTATACAACCCATAAAAGTCATGAATGTAAGAAACTTCACAGGGAACGAACACCCATTAGTGAATCTGCAAGTTTTCTATGTAATTTTATTTATGGCGCCTGGCATTTGCAGCAGCCAATCAATGGGAAGATTCAGGCATTCCCAGATCCTAAGGCCAAACTCTTGAGTGCCTTTTAACACATCCTGGTTGTTACCACAACAGACTTTTGCAGGGCAGAGCTTGTTTTAACACATTGGATTCTAAATCTTGTCTCGCTATATCAACCTTCTTACACACTGTTAGTTCCCATTTTCCATTTCAGGAATCAGTGCCAAGCCTTCCGGACTGTTTTGTTTGTAAGTACAGAGACCCACCCTCTGTTTTTCTGCATTCTAACTGAATTAGGAGTTGCTACTGGCATCTCCAAGAAACCAAACATGAGCCAGTGAGATTAAGTGAGGTTTCAACATAAGGCATGCAAGCCCTACATGCTGTGTCAGATTTCCTGCACGTTCCTACATTTAATAAACTGCCTGAATAAACGCAAAGAGCTATAGCTCTCACAAGTGTAACTATGGCGGAACAGTCCTGCTCTGGCTTGCAGGCCCAGTTCCCCCTGCCCTCCTGGGTTTCCCCCACACCCTCGGTTCAACCACCGCCTCCACCTGGCCTTTGTAGGAATTGCCCACTGGGTAGGTCAGGAAGCCCAGCTTCCCTTCAACATTCTGAAGCCTTGCCTCTGTGTCTTCCACTACTCAGCAAGGACAGCTTGCTGCCTTGTGCACTACCAAGTAGGGGTGTGCAAAAAATAAAATAAAATTCCAGCCCATTCGTATTCGGCCTAATCAGGCAGAATCAATTTCAGCTGGCAGTACTACCGCATGTCAGTTTCGTCAGTACAAGCCCATTTGGGAGTCTTTCGGCCAGCCGAATGTCAATTTCAGCCCCATTATATCCTATGGGCCATTGAAGTCAATGGCGAAAACATAGGGTATATTCTGGGGGCTGGAGGAGAGGGGGCTTGAGGGAGAGACTCCAAACTCGCAGGGTAGCTGCTGGAGCCTCACCCCAAGATATCTTCCAAGTTTCAAGAGCATTGGACCTGGGGTCCAATTCTACGGGCCCTCAAATAGGTTGCCCCTATCCCCTCCATTGTTCTCTATGGTGGGAAAAAACGGGGGAGGGGATGGGGCAACCTGTTTGGGGGCCTGTAGAATTGAACCCCTGGTCCAGTGTTCTTCAAACGTGGTTGGTATCTTGGGGAGAGGCTCCAGCAGCTACCCTGCAA